ATCCAGATCGAGATCGAGATCCAGATCGAGATCAACAAGAGGAAGAAGCAGCAGCTCAAGGAGGGGCTCTGGGCGCGCCGTTTGCGCGTTCGAGCCTGCCAGACTGCCCCCAGCCTAGGGGGACACGGGCGCAGCCCTGGGGCTACAAAAGTCGTGGTCGGTTTCGTCGTCGTCGTCGTTGTCGTCGTCATTGTCGCCGTCGCCGTCGCCGTCGCCGTCGCCGTCGTCGTCGTCGTCAGGTGGGAAGCCTCCCCCGTTTCCCCACCGGCCCCCTCATGGAGGGAGGGGGGCAAGGACTGCGAGGATTCCCACCGGCCCTTTGGGCAGAGGTGACTTGACGAGTTCTCTCCTCCAAGGTTTCGCGAGGCGTTGGAACGTACAAGATAGATCCAAGATTGATCCCAGGCAGCTCGGACTCCAAGATGGCACAATGTAGCCCAGGATGGATCGAGGTAGCTACCAGCATGCATCCAAGAGGCTCAAAACGAGTCCAATGAGGCTCCAAGTGGCGAGGGAGCCTTCCGAAGAAGCCCCCGACGGGCCCGAATCACCCAAAGCATAACACGTACTTTATTATGTTTGCTTTATCACTGGCAGGGGGGGATCAAAGTGATGGCTCAGAGCAGTGCGAACGTGCCAACAACTGGCGAGCTGGACATGGCGACCTAAAAGTCGCCGGCCCAACGGGCCAGGGCGTGCTAAGATCTCCGGTACCTGGTTAACAGTATTTCTAGTTCGCGCGCGCGGGGCGGCCCCTGGGGGTCCCCGGACGAAAAGTACCCCGGCAAGGTCCCGGCAAGTCCCCGGCAAGGTCGGGCCAGAGATGCCGGAGCCCTGTTACAGGGCCCCAGGACGGGCCAAGAGGTCCCCAAGAAGCCTCCAAGACGGTCCAAGAGGGCCCCGAGACGGCCAAAGATCGCCCGAAGACGCCCAACAGGGCCCCAAGACAGCCCAAGAGGCCTCCAAGACGCCCCAAGGGCCTTCCAAGAGGCCTCCGAAGAGGGCCCCAAGAGGCCAAAATCGTTGATTTTCATTGTTTTTTTCGATGTTTTTTGCGTTCTGGCTTTTTCGGCTTCCGGACGCTCCAAGACGGCCCAAGAGGCCCCCAAGACCGCTCCAAGACGGCCCACGAGGCTCCCAAGACGGCCCCGGAACGGCCCAGGAGGGCCCCCAAGACGGCCCAAGTGCCGCCCAAGACGGACCAAGAGGCCCCAAGACGGGCCCAAGAGGGGCTCAAGAGGGGAACCGAGAACTGAAAAATCGAGCCCTCCGCCCCAGAAGGCGCCCAGGAGGCCCCAAAAAGGCCCCAAGAGGCCCCCAAGAGGCCCCCAAGACGCCCCAAGAGGCACCCAAGAGGCCCAAAAGAGGCCCCAAGAGGCCCAAAAACGGCCCCCAAGAGGCCCCAAAACTCGGCTAGCCCACAACGGTGCGACAATATGGGCCGGCGGAATGAGCGAAGCGATTAAATAAGGCAATTCAATCAAGCGTTTGGGCCCTCCTGGAATCGACACGTCCAGCAGGACACGGACGCAACCAGCACGTCGCTTCTGCAACCTCAAGGGTAAACACGAGGACGCCCGCAGGCGTGAAAAGGGCAAGGGAGCATGATGGGAGAATTCGCTCGAAAAGGCGGCCGCGCGGGGCTGGGGGGAGGCGCCCGGGCGCCGCTCATTCAGGCGCCTGACACACATAATTGCCAAGTGTTGCCCCGCTGTGGCAAACTCTTTGCGGCTGGCATCCACGTGTTCCCACCGCCGAGGGAGCACGGGCAGATGGAGAAATCACGCAGAGGACATCTGCACACCTGGGGGGCCACATGCGAACCCTACCCCTACCCCCCACGATTTCTGAGGGGGAGGGTGGGGTTCACTTAACTCAAGAGCTCCCGAGCGAAGTGAACCCCACCCTCCCCCTCAGAAATCGTGGGGGGTAGGGGTAGGGTTCGCAAGTGGCCCCCTAACATCACCACCACCACCACGCATCGTGGTGTTGTGCACGTGTCCTTTTGCGGTGAAGGTGGACCTGGCGTCGCTCGGACGTCCATTCCCTGTGTTGTTTTTTCGGCTTCGTGCGTGGTTTTTTCTCCAACTGATCGAGGATGCTCCTCGATGGTCCTCGCCGAAGGAAAAATGCACACGTCCGAGCGATGCCAAGCGGAGTGGCGCCCCGAAAACCCAGCCTCGCGCTCGTCCTCGGCGGCGTCGAGGGCCTCGCGCCAGGCGAAGACGAGGCCCTCCGGGAGCAGGACCGGGCACGCGCCCCCCAGCGGCCCCTCCTCCTCCAGGGGGAGGGCCGACTGTCACCACCATTCCTCGCTGGGCCCCTCTTGGGCCCAAGAGCGGCGCGCGCGTTTTCCTGAAGGGGCGCACGCCCCGATCTGGGCCCAAGAGGAGGAGGAGGAGCAACACGAGGAGGAGGGGGAGGCGGCCAGAGAGGACAAGGAGGAAGGAGGAGGAGGAGGAGGACGACGAAGAGAAGAACGGGGCACCAAAATTGCGGGTGGCAGTGGAGAATGGTGGAAGAAGCTGCAGCCAAGAGAGAGTGAAGACAGGCGAATTACCCAACACGGCGTCGACTGGCTGTAGTTGCCTCGCATCTGGGCGCGGGGCACTTCTCGTTGGCCTGGCGCAGATCGTGTCCAGCGCGAGCTCACGCCATGGCATTGGTCGCCCCTGCTAGCCAGGTGCGCCCCCTGGCTCTGCATCTTGCGCACTGCTGGCGTAGCCGCTAGCTTTCGGCAGGCGTGGCTGGCCGTTGCGGCGCTTGCGCGGTAGCGCCGCTGGAGAGCACCCGCGCGCCTTGCTTCGTAGGCGCGCAGACGCAGCCCGCGCGGCTGTTTGCGGCGGCGTGTCTCTCGCTGCTGGCGCTTGCCAATCAGGGCCGTTGACTGGTCCGCGCGCTGATCCCGTGGGTGCCGAGGTGGCACCGAGGCGGCGCGCGCTGCCTCGACGCGGGCAACGACGGCGCCGCGTCGCAGTTGCCAACGTCGGCCGTTCGCAGCTGTCCCAGCGTCGGAAGCACAGCGCGGCCCACGCGCCAGGCCACCGCGATGCATTCAGGAGGGAAAAAACACACAGACACAATTAATCGTCGATCCCCCAGAAAATATGGGAAAATATGGGAAGTGGGGGGGAAGACAAAAACCCAGAAAGTATGTGAAAATATTGAAAATATTGTTATTTGTGTGCATTGATTTGTGTATCCCAGGGCCCCTTCATGCATGCCGGCCCCTGCAAGGAGGCGCGGCCGGCACTGCAGCGCAGACCTCCCCGGCGGCGCGCCGCCGCGCCACGCGCAGTGCCCGCCGGAGCTTCACGGAAGGGGCCCCAGGGCATACAAATAGATACACACAAATAAAAAGATTCCCCCTATCTTCCCAGATGTTCTGGGTTTCTGTCTTCCCCCCCATTTCCCATATTTTCCCACATTTTCTGAGGAATCCACGATTAATTGTGTCTGTGTGTTTCTTTCCCTCCTGATTCACGGCGAAGCGCTCACAATGCTGATCACGTAGCGCCAATCTACCGCGAGACAAGAACGCCCTTGCAATCGATGGGGAGGTCGGCCAGTCTCTGGCGGTAAAGAACGGCTTCTCGATGGCGATCGCGTCGGACGCGGTTCGATGTGAGCGAGTGGCCCGGTCGCCCTCGCAGCGCTCGTTGTAGCTCAGTCGCCGAGCGTCTCCTAGACGGCGCATCGGCCTCAGACACTTTCGAGCCCGTCGGCATGGCGCGGCGGCCGCTAAGACGCGCGCCCACGCACGCTGCAAGGCGCGCCCAGGAGGAGACGCTGCGCCAGGCGGGGGAACGAACACTTCCGAAGGATCCGTTGCAGGCGCGGCGGGGCCCGCGCTGCCGACAGCCGCGCGGCGGAGCTGGTTCGGCCGGCTGTCCTTGCTCAAGTGGAGCCGCGCACAGGAACGACGGCCGCGTCGCCCCGCGCGGCGTTGTCGGGCTGGCGAGGGCGAGCCCGGTGGCTGACGTCGCGTCGGGCGGCTTCGGGCGCGCCTTTGCCGGCGGTGCCCTGGGGCAGGCACTGCAGCGCGCGTCCGCGCGCTAACGGGCCACTGCCCGTGCGAGGGCGCTGCCGCGATGTCGCATAAGCAAGGCGCTGCCGCGCGCCGGGCACCGCGGCGCCGCGCCCCGCTCGCCGCCCCCGACGGGCGGCCACGCCGCCAGGCTGCCGTCGTCAAGCACGCGACCACTCCAAGGGCTGACGCAGGAGCGGCGAATCAGGAGTCAGCGTAGAAAAACCTCCCAGGCTGGGCACTGCCGCGCATCGGAGCTGACTGGCGCGCCAGACCCATCCTCGACGGACTCGTAGGTTTCCGAACCCAGCCCCACGACGATGTCCGCGATGAAGCCCCCTCCTTCACGAAAGGTTCCCCGTCGGCATCAGCGCCGCGACGGATCGCTGCCTGCGCGTGCGACGCGGGCGGCGGGAGGTCCAAGAAGTAGCACTTACTGCATAGCCGCTGAACTGTGGTAATGGCCTCCGTTGTCTGAACCGGACTGAACCGGACTGGGCCTCTCGGTGGCGCCATGTAAACCTCTCAAGGCTCGTATATGGAAGTACCCGCGAGATGCGACATGAAAAAGAACTCAAGATGTAACTCTGCGCTGTGGACGTGGCGTCGGCGTCCCCCAGGCACTTCGCGGCGCCCGCGCGATGGCCTTGAGCTCAGCGTTCTGGCTGACCGCGAACGTTTCGTAGTCCACTGCCGTCTGCGCGCGCTCGTTCTCGACGCTCCAGGGCCCAAGGATCGGTCTGCGAGTCGACGATGAGGCAGACCCGCGCCGCGCGAGCAGAGGCGACCCCCGCCGTAGCATCTCCTGCTTAAGGCTGTAGCTGAGCCACTGGGTGCCAGCGCGGCGAACGCACAGACCCCCTGCAGTGGAGGCCCAGGCCCAGCTCCACAGCGCCGACGCCCCATGCCGCGGAGGTGGGGCCCCTCTCCGCCTCAGACATGGCGCACGTGACTAGGTGCGGCGGCGGGCGTGTCAGCGGCTGCGCGACATCGCCGCTGAGCCAGAGAAGTAGATGGCCACGAAGGTCAGCAGAGCGACGCTCAAGATCGCGAGGTTGAGCCTGCTGCGCGCGCCGTCGCCACCGGCGGAGGTGCACGCGACGCCGGCGTTGCAGGCGATGTCTTTCCAATGGAGGCGGACGTGGACATACCCATATCCGCCAGGACCGTCCGGGCGCGGAGCGCGCACAGACGGTCGCCGATCCGCGTGGGAAGCGGCGGCCGCGCGGCGGTCGGTGGCCGACGCGTCTCCGCCCGCGGGAAAGCGACGCAGCGTGGTGGTCGACTGCATATGCAAGGAGCCCCATTACTCGCGCCCACGCTTCCGCTCGGGGCAATGCTAGCGTTGTGGATGTCATGACAATGGACACCCTAGCAGTTCGATCGTTGAATTAAGCATGCGTGTAAACTGTTTGAAAACAACTTTGAACATTTAAAAACACGTTTATACATGGCTTTGATATTGTAAACATGTTTTAGACATCTGGAACATACTTAGCGACATGATTCCTCTCCATTGATCGCCCTCCACAATTCTAGCGCCTCGGAACTCTTTCGACGAGGCGACTGCGGAATGAGCAGAGAAGCCCGCCTGGGAATCGGGCAACCCAACGGCCCGCCCAGTAGCCTCCATGGCCACCACCGCGGCGCTGAAAGCCTGGGTTCGCCTGAGCTGCGTGCGGGCCCTGGCCAAAGACACCGCGTCGCACTCAATCAGGAGCGCGCGGTCGGTGCCCCGCTCGTCCTCCAGGCAGGCGCCAAGGCAGCAGTCTTCGGCGACGTCATCCTCGCACGTCGCGTTCTGCACGCGCGCACGTGCGCGCGTGGATGTATGACTGGTAGTTCTGGCGTTAAGAGCCGCAATGCGTGGCGGCTCCTGGGCGCAGGAGCTACGGCCGTTGCCTGGTGAGTCGCGGCCCGCGCCGGGGGTGCCAAGCGCGCGACTCGCGCCCGGGCCGCGCGGCGTGCGCGCGCGTGCGCGGCGCTGCAGCGCGAGCCATGCCGAGCGCATGAGACGCTCCAGCCTTATCCCACGAAGTAGGCTCTGCAGCGAGGAACTTACCGCATCGAGGCCAAAGACAGGCAGCGCGGAGAACTCCTGCGCGAGATGGGCGGCGATAGCGATGGCTTGACCCGCGGTTCGCGCGAGTTCCCCAGGAGCCGGGCTCGCGCTCGCAAGTTGCGCGTCGGTGACCACGCTGGGCAGAGCTACAATCCCACAACGTCGGCGCGCGCGAGAGCGCGGGCGACGGCGTAGAATTAGCAGAGTGAACACTTCGCACCGACCCATACCCACATCACATGCGTGTCGTAGTATAGTCCTGCTTCTCTTCCCACGTGGCGCATGGCGGCCGCAGCAGCAATGGCTGCCGCAAAATCAAGGATTCCAAGACGGCGATGCGCACCTGACACACGATGTCGCAGTCCCGCACCCGCGCGCGGGGGGCCGCCGCGCACTAGGCCGAGCGCGCGCGGAGACCGGCGCGCAGGCGGCGCCTCGCGCACACGCTTTCGCGCGCAGCTGGGTAGCGCGCGCGCGGCGCGGCGCGCTGGAGAGCGCGGGGGCCGCGGACGCACCGCTGCCAGGACGACGGCGCGAGCGAGCGGCCCGCGGGCGGTCGCAGCCAGGGTCGGCGAGGTTCAGGCTCGCAGGCGCCACCTGGACGACAGCGCCTGCACAGTAGCCGGCTCACCTGGGCCCCGGCAGCACCAACTGGAGGACGCCGGCGCAGGAGACAGCGCACCAAGCACCCGGCACCACCAAACTCTACGTCTTGGAACTGATCAACGCTCGGTCTTACTGAGCTGAGGCCAACGGAGCCCCGAGTAGGAAGCTCCTCTACCCTGGGCCCGCCCGGGCCGCCGCGCGCGCAGATGATTCATCGCGATGAGTGGCGCAGCTCTCGCGTTTTAGCGCGCGCACGCGCGGGCGGACAACCGCGCGCGCGTTTGCGTGCATCTGCGCGCCCGGCATTCCAGGCCGAGCACTGCCGCGCGCGCGCGGCGCGCCTGCGGCCTTTGGCAGGACATGTCAGAGCAAGAGCTAAACAGCAACGCTTAAGGGCCAGCGTCAGAAAATCCACAACGCAATCAATATGGCATCTGGTATCCTACCACGGAAATCGCATTTTCGATGGTCGTGATGAAATCACACCGCGAAGAAACGTTACTTTTGATAGTGGTCGGAAAACTGAGCTTCACATCGCGGTTCACCAGCGTCTCCGCCCCGCATAAATTCGCTGCGCCCCGCGCGGTGACGTCGCGCTGGCGCCGACGAACATGGCGCCGACAAATTGCGGCGCTTTTTTCCCTCCGCGCCCGCGCGTCTCGGCTTGCGCCGCGCCAGAGGCCCCCCCAAAGCATCCGAGGTCGACGCGTCGACCTCCCTTGGCGAGCCATTCTGGCGCCGGCGACGCTGGCGGCGAGGGCGCCGGCGCAGCCGGGGACCCTGCGACGACGGCGACTGCGGCGGCGCCAACTATCGCGTAGCCCGCGACTTCCAAGACGGCGGCGTGGACCGTCGAGTCGGCGCAATCAGGTCCGATGTCGTCGCCGCAGTAACGCTCGTCGCGGTTGGCTGCGTGGCCGTCGTTGTCGCTGCACCAGCCATGGGTCGGTGGCGCCGTCGTCGCCGCTGCCGCAACTGCCGTGGTCGAGACGCATGGGCCGCGCACTGCCGCGCAACATCGCGCGGGGCAAGCGCGGCCGCTGGACGCGGCCGCGCACTGGTAGAGCACTGGCGCGGCAAGACCTGGCAGATCGTCGCGGCAGCACGCGTCGGCGGCCTCCAGCGCGCTTTCGGCGGCCGCGCGCCTAGCACAGGCGCGCGCGCGCGCCCTCGTCGCCGCGGCGTCGCGGGCCCGCGCACAACGCTGCGCCGCGCGGCGAGACGCAGGCGCGCGCGCGCGCCGCGCATCGGCGCGCGCGTGGCCACGCCGCGACGGCGCGGCCATGCAACGCGCGGCCCGCGGCCTCGCCGCTCGACGCGGCGGCGCGCTGCGCGGGCGCACCAGCGGCGCGACGCGCAAGAGGGCGCGCCGCAGACACGGCGCACAACCACGCGCGCATGCGAGCGCGCCACGCGCGCGCCGCGCGGCGCGCAGGAAGGCGCGCCACAAACGCGGCGCACAGCCACGCGCGCAAGACAGAGCGCCACAAACACGGCGCACACGGATGGCGCCGCAGCCTGGCGGCCGGACGGCGCCGCGGCGAAGCGGTCGGAAGAACGGCGTCAACTTTTCGAAGACAATTTGGCAGGAGGCCGACGACCTCAACGCGCCGACTTCGCGGCGACCACCCGCGCGCGCATTCCCCGATATCAGCCAGGGCACCCGAGGACAGTAGCACTAATAAGTCGCCAGCCCAACGCGCCAGAGGCGTGCTAAAATCTCCGGCAACGACTTAACAATATTTCTAAGTCGCACGCGCGGGGCGGCCCCTGGGGGGCCCCCGACGAAAAATAACCCGGCCGATCCCCGGCCAGCTCCCAGACGACCCCCAGGGGGGAAGCTATTTTTCGCCAGCCCTCACGAGGATCGCGGCCTCCGATGGGGGGGGCTGCAATCGACTGCCCCCCCCCCCGCCCCAAGGGGCCCCCAAGAGCCCCCCCGAGAGGCCCCAGGGGGGCCCAATGCGCCGCCAAGGAGCCCCAAGACGCCCCCAAGAAGCCCCCAAGAAGCCCCCAAAGCCGGCCCAAGAGGCCCCAAATAGCGCCCCAGGGCCGGCGGAATGAGCGAAGCGACTAAATAATTCGCCGGCCCAACGGGCCAGAGGCGTGCTAAGATCTCCGGTAACTGGTTAAGAATTCTCTAGTTCGCGCGCGCGGGGCGGCCCCTGGGGGTCCCCGGACGAAAAGTACCCCGGCAAGGTCCTGAGAGAGTCCCGGGAGGAGTCCCCCAGAGCGCTCCAGGAGCGCTCCATGAGCGCACCAACAGGGCTCCGAGACGTCCCCGAGAGCCCCAAGAAAGGCCAAGAGGCCCCCAAGAGGCCCCCAAGATGGTACACGAGGGGTCCGACATGCCACAAGATCGCTCCAAGACGCCCAAGATAGCCCCCAGACGCCCCAAGAGGCCTCCAAGAGCACTCCCAAGAGGGCCCCCGGAGGCAAAATTCATTGTTTTTCCTTAGGTTTTTGAAAGATTTTGGAGCTTCCACCTTTTCGGTTCCCGACGCCCCAAGACGGCCCCAGAGGCCCCCAAGATCGCCCCAAGAGGGCCCAAGAGGCCCCCAAGAGGGCCCCAAGATGGCCCAAGAGGGCTCGAAGACGGCCCAAGAAGCCTCCAAGACGGTCCAAGAGGGCCCCAAGAACACCCCCAAAGGGGCCCCAGAGAGGGAACACGAAACAAAATTTCGCGCCCTCGGCCCTAAGAAGCCCCTACGAGGCCCCAAGAGGCCCCTAAGAGGCCCCAAGAGGCCCCCACGAGGCCCTCAGGAGGCCCCCAAGAGTCCCCCAAGCGGCCCCAGGAGGCCCCCCAAATGCCCCCCCGAGCGCCCCAGGAGTCCCCCAAGCGGCCCCAGGAACCCCCAAAGCGCCGCATTGACACCAGGCCCTCGGGCAAACGGCAGACATGAGACCGCATGGGCCGGCGGAATGAGCGAAGCGATTCAATGATAACAGTAGTAGCAGCAGCAGTAGCAGTAGCAATGGCAATAACAATTTGCACTGTTGGGAGCTATGACTGCCAGAGCGCGGCCAGGGCGTCGGCAACCTGTCATGCGAGGGCCGCCGCGGCGATCGCCGCTGCACAAATTTGCTGAGCACCCCGCTCGCCCGTAGCTGGGTTGCGTCTGCAACCACAGCGTTGGGCGCGCGCCGAAGCCTGCGCCGCGCCGAGAGGGCGCGGGCGCCACGAGGCCTCGGTGCTGGTCGCAGCACGACCCAGCAACGGGCGAGAAACGGGGCGGGCACGGGCGGGTCAAATCCCGAGCGCGGGGCGCGCGCCCCAGGCACACACAAACCTGTGGTACCTGCGCGCGGCCGCGGCGGGCAGCGGCCGCGCGCGGGGGCGCGCGGGCCTGCCCACATCGCCTGCGGCGCGCCGCGGCGCGCGCGAGCCAAGCGGCGGCGCGGCGACTGCTCGCGCCTGCGTCCGCCGCGTGCGCCTGGGGCCAACGAATGTGTGCGATGGAACCAGGGGCCGAACTCGTTCCATACACACAAACTCGCTGAGCACCCCGCTCACCCGTAGCTGGGTTGCGTCTGCAACCACAGCGTTGGGCGCGCGCCGAAGCCTGCGCCGCGCCGAGAGGGCGCGGGCGCCACGAGGCCTCGGTGCTGGTCGCAGCACGACCCAATGCAACGATGCGACCAGCGCCGTGCGCCGCTCACCCGCTGTGCACGCGGAGCGCGGCGCTCGGGCGCGCGCCGGGATGTCGCAGCCACACTAAATGTCTGAGCTGCTGTCAGAGCTGTCCGAGCAATCGGACGCGGCGTTGCGCGCGGCGCACGTCGCGGCGCGCGCGCGGCACCAACACCTCCGGCGGAGTATCGACGCGCACGGCTTGTTCTTCCGCATTGGCAACCAGAGGAGTGCCTCGTCTGCCGATATGGCCAACTCCGCCTAGCGCGTTCGGCGCGCGCGCGGGTGCCCCAGCGCGCGCGCTTCCAGACGGCGCGGCCCGCCGTGCGGCCGCGCGACAGAGTGTTGCCGCACCGCCGGATGGGCAAACACTCGGAGGCAAATCCCGAGCGCGGGGCGCGCGCCTCAGGCACACACAAACCTGCGGCACCTGCGCGCGGCCGCGGCGGGCAGCGGCCGCGCGCGGGAGCGCGCGGGCCTGCCCACATCGCCTGCGGCGCGCCGCGGCGCGCGCGAGCCAAGCGGCGGCGCGGCGACTGCTCGCGCCTGCGTCCGCCGCGCGCGCCTGGGGCCAGCGAATGCGCGCGATGGAACCAGGGGCCGAACTCGTTCCATGCAAAAAGATGGTCTGCCTGCTCCGTTGACAGGACGGAAAGAAACACGTGGAAGGCGTCGGCGCGGCGGCACTTATTCAGGCGATGAAGATGCACTGGAAACTGCCCCAAATGTCGCGCAGGAATATGCGTGGAATGGCGCTCTGGCGTTTTGGCGTCGAAACATCCTCGGGGCCGGAACCCTTGGTCGAATCACCTCAGACACGCAAGCTTTTGCCAAACAATCTGCACCAGACACTCGACCAGAGACATGCGGTGGATCTCACCGAAGTCTCCAGTGGACGCCAAGCGCACGATAGGCGCGTACATGTCGGCTGATATTGCCGCCAGCCGTCGGTGGCACGCATGGAAACTGCAACGGAGCGCCCTGTCCTCGAGCGGCAGGCAATTTGGCCAGCGAAGCCGGCCCAGCGATGAAAACCAGCAGGGCCACATACGATCCCACTGGCGGCGCACTCGGCCAAATGGTCAGCACGAACGTTCAAGTAAGCACTGTTCAGCACGGCTTACCACCATCCGGAAATACCATGGCGAGCCACCTGGTCAAACATGTGAAGAACACGAAGAAAGAGTCCAAGGTTCGCCGGCCCCTAGGCGCCCTGCTGAGCCACGCCAGCTGCGAAATCCAAGTCACGCTCGACGATGGCGGGGCGAGAAGATGGCGACGCAGCAACTCGATCACGAACCCAGGACGAAGCCAAGTACGCGGCTGAACACTCATCGACATCATTCGAATGATGGCCAGCACCGACCCAGGAACGCCCGGGCCCAGGATGGCGGGCCCGCAATAGTCCAGGACAAAGGCGCACGGAAATGAAGCAATGTAAAGCCCCAACCAGAAACGTCGGCGCCCGGCCCTGTCGCTGCCGAACCATCACACAAAAGAACGAGAGCACCGCGCACTCGAAGCTCTTGGGGGCCAGGCTACAGCGGGGGCTGGTTCCTGCGCGGGCGCGTCGCTGCCCCCAGGGGCCCCCCCGCCCCAGGCCCTGGGCCCGCCGCCCGGGGCGCCCGCGGCGCGAGACGCAGGGGCAAGGCGAAGAGCAGCGCGATATATATATATATATATATATACATATATATATATATATGTATATATATATACACACACATCTATACATATATATATATATATACACACATGTACATGTAGATGTACATGCACATATACATATTACACCCCAATGATCGAGAACAGGGCTGATCCAGCTCAAACACTGGCATCAGCGCTGGAAGAAGGCACGGGAGCGCGTCGGGGTCCACGGGCGAAAGGCGCGCCCCTCCTACTGGGCGGGCAGCGGTCGGTCAGGGTCGCGCGCCCCTGCGCTCACACTACCTCGGTCATGCTGCGGTTGGGCGAACCAGCGCCGCGCGCCAGGGCAGTCCTGCCCAGCGGCGTGCAGCGCCGGTTCGGGCGCCCATCGTTGGCTGCGCAGATAGCTGAGGCCGATGATGATCAGCCACGCGCGCCACGGTCAAACATGGGCCGACGCTCTCAGGCTCGCGTCGTGCATTGGGTCTTTCTGACAGCACGCGCGTAGGCGCGCGCGCGCGCACCTGCGCCGAGCTGAGACGATGGCTCATTAGTGCGCCAACTGTTTGAGCAGTCACTTGTCTGGGGCCCTGGCCGGATCGCGATAGACGGGCCGGCGCGCAGATCGTTCAAGCAGCGCGGCATTGGTGGGCGCGCAGTCGCGCTGGTGGCCTGGCGCGAGCGCGCACGCTATGGAAGCGTTTCTGTCGACGGTTGCGATTCAAACTCCCCCCCCTTCTGGTTTGCACAGACTCGGCGAAGTACAGCCCGTAGTATTGCAGGTTGTGGCATCAATCGTTGTTGACGGTGCTACGTTCGTCGTCGCGGTAGCTCTCGCGGTGGTCGTGCGCGTCGTCGATGCATCGTCGACGTGCTCGTAGTAGCGGCACTGGTGATGCAGTGTCTGTGGCGGTTGTGGGATCGTTCGTGAAGTTTCCCCTTCAGGGTCGGTTACATCAGCTGGGCAGCGCCGCACGATGGCACGATGGGCAGCGCCGCGCGATGGAGTAGCCACTGGCGACAGCTCTCAGGCAGGGTGACTTGGGGAACTTTCGAAGAGGGGTGTCGTTGCAATTTCGCGACATTCAGATCTCTCTGCAGGGCGCGCTGGAAACCTGCGCTGAGTGGGAACACAAAACCTGTCGTTGCGCCGTCGAAGAAGCGGCTCCCAAGCAGAGCCCGCCAGAGGCCGGCGCCGACCGGTCGCGCGCCCGGCGGCAGAGCGGCCGCTGGTAGCGGCCCCCAGGCAGGACGCGCTAGCAGCCCGTGCCAGACGACGGCGCGGGCCCTGTCGCGGCGCAGCCGCCAGGCGGAGCGCGCCAGAAACCCGGCACATACCCCGGACCCGTCGGCCCGACTCACGCAGGTCACGAATGACTTGCGCGCCGCCGCTGGCACGGCTGGTCGCCCCAACTGCTGGCGCCGCGGGCCTGCAGTAGGTCGCGCTCAGAAGCGGCCGGGGCCTCGCCTTGTAGACAGCAACGCGCCAGCAGCCAGATGCCCGAGCGCGCGCAGGGCCAGGGTGCACGCAGCGCCTTCGTCAAAGACTCCTGGGTTGCACGGCGATGAGAAACGATCGCGGCGCATGAGCGGGTAGCCCGGGCATTCCACGCCGCGCCAGATACTGCCCGTGCGTCGCAACTGCCAACGCCCGATTGTGAGCCACCGCGGACGTTCCCCCAATTGCCCCGATCGCGAACGCGTCCAGGTTCGCCGCTGGTCCAAAGTGCGTTCGTCGACGTTCCACTGTTGACCGAAAATGAATATCTTCCCGCACGTCCAACCTAAGGGCATGGCATTTCC